TTTTCTCTTTCCTATATTTTGTAAGAAATTTCTGTATTATCTCTATTCATAGCAGCTAAACATTTAAGGTGAACAAAAATTGTTAAAAAAAAATAATAGATTTTTATTCTTTAATTATTACTTTGTTCAATTTAAGATATACACTGGTAGTTTTAAAAATGAAATTGTTGATAGATTAAGAATTCATACACTAAATATTTTTGCAAGTATCAGAAACTCTCCATATTTTTCTCTGATACACTACCAGCTTATATCAAAATAAAAATAAAGGTTTTGAGCCACTAGTAGTGCAGAGTTATTTCTCAGATCGTAGTATTCTATTACTTGTTTTTTTCGTTCAGTGTGAAGTGTGCGTGTTTTGTATTTTTTTTTATTTTTATTTTGGAGTTTTCTGTTCCCCTTTCCCTCCTCTTCTTTACCGAGAATGTACCAAGGGAGACAATTCAAGTTTGAATGATTGCAAATTAGAGAGCTATTTACAAAAATCAGCTAACATTTTATTTTATGCTTACAGACGTCACTAACTTGACGGAATTATGCCATTATTTTCTCACATTAGTTGTATTCATTTCTAAATTATCCTGTTAGATTTATCATATGATAAATAGGCCTTTTCGCGTTCATCATTACGAAGACACGTTTTAATTAAGAATTTTTTTTACCTGGCCTCATACTTAGTTTATGTGTATTTAAAAATACTTTACATCTTTAATCACTGAAATAACAGAAAAAAAATCACATTTTCACAAAAAATTTGAAATTTATTTTTTGTTTTATAGTCTTTTGAACAAATATAATTTGTTTTTATAATGAGATAATTTTATGTAAATTAGTTTGGTGTTTCTGACTAATAGCCACCTTTCCTTCTTTGTCATAATTTTTGCTCATTTTAAATAAGAGCAATTCCACATCCTCTCTCAAGATTTCTTAAATGACCAATAATATATAAAATTGATCAACTGGTCAAGGGATAACTTCAATATATAAAAAAAAAAAAAACCTTTCTAGAGTTATTTCTTATTAGCACGCTTGTGTCAAACATACCAGGCTATCCCTTCAGTTGGTCTAGGTGTGACCAGTGAGATGCATAATATAACCACACAGACATTTGCTTTGGTTCTTGTCTTTACAAAGCATCCAAATCATTGAAGTGTGTTATTAAAAATTAATTTCTTCAAAATTTGCATGTATGGAATACAGTGTTAAAAATTTAATATGGAGGATGCTTGAGTATCAGGGATATAACATTTTTAGATATATTCTGTGGATGTAGAAGAAAAAAAACACAGATCAACACTGCATGGTGACTGTTAGTTTCACACCATAAGTGATCATCATATCTAATACTGATAATTTCTTAAGGTGTGAAACTGATATATCACCATGTAGAGCTGATTTCTATGTCCATATTATTTTTGTTTTTTAAAAATAAATTATATATACACATGCACACACATATACACATTTTTGTTTTTGCTATTAATCATGTAAAGTTTTTAATTATCTAAAATATGAGGCTTGGTTAAAAAAAAAAAAAATTAAAAAATACATATCAAAAGACTCACTGAACTGTGTTACTTCTGGTTAAATTTTTATTCAGCTATCTTTTAAAACTATTTCCACTATTAGAATTAACTGTCTGCTGTTGGTTCTCATTAAAGGAATATTTGTATTTTCAACATTGTATTTTTTATGTTTATCTTGTATGCTGTTTTGCTGTTCTTTTTATCAGAATTTAGTATTGTTTTCTTTTTCCTTTTTATTTATTTCAGCTGCTGTTGAATAAATTTTGAAAGAAATGAACATAGAAACTATTATTTAAAAATGTCTTTTAAAGTAATTGTTTTCTAATTTTTATATTTCACATGAGAAAATTAATGCAAATGTCTATTATTAGGTAATATTTACTTTGGTTTACGAGCAGCCATTTGTTAAATTTAGAACTACTTATTATTATTATCTGAATTTGTCGGATTTTGCAGTTGAGAAACTATTAAAAGAATTTGTTAAATTTACTCTGAAATACTGGCATGAACCCTCCATGATGTATTTTGTCATCATGCATTCCTTGGAAATATATAGAGATAAACCTTTTTTCTTTTAAATTTTGGTAGAAATAAATTATCAGATTTCTACCATCATTTTAGAAAATGCATTGAAGTTGATCTTCTTTTTATCAGCTACATATTGCTTATGTTATCAGATATGATGTCAGGTATGAAAGGAATATAAGGTATATTAGTGGGAAGTTGTTGAACTTTTAGAGATGATATATTTTCTTTTAAATAGATTTTATATTTTAATAGATTTTCTTTATTTTTTTTAATAGATTTTATTTTCAATCTTTTAAATAGATTTTGTATTTTATTTTAATAGATCTTGTTTATTTTTTTATAGATTTTATTTTCATTCTTTATAGGGAATAGATTTTGTGTGCCAATTCCATTTAATGTTTTTTTATTGAAAAGTAATTATCAATATTTTGAAGTCTTTTAAATCCATCATTCTAAAAGGATGCTAACACTTCTATAGTTTCATTTAGTCAATGATAGAAAATTCTTTCCAATGAAACTTTTATATATAAGATATAAATTCTTGGTAATAGGTTCCTCACATGTTCATATTCTGATATAATGTCGGAACTTGTCTTTCACATGACTTAACTAAGTGATTTAATGAACTAAGTTAAAGGAAGTATCTGAAGAAAAACTTGCAGGTTTTATATATATATATATAAAGAATGGGTGGATTACTTTTCCTTTGTGTATATCACTATCAATAAATAATAGCTGGATGTGAGTCACGTGACTGATATTGACATGCAAATAAAGTAAAAATACTAGAACACAAAGCAATAAAGAATAGTATGAATAAATACTGAAATATTAACTATTCTTTATTATTTTTTTTAACCAGATATTGATTAGCAACAGTTATTTCAAATTAATTTTGCCTTATGTTTTATGAGTATCCAGGCAAGAGTTTTGAAGAAATCAAAATTAAATTTACAGAGGAGATATTATTAATTTGAGTGATGTTAAGAAAATGTTCTTGGCATTTATTCTTGGAACCAATTTTGAAGAAGTTGACGACTAGTTTTAACTATTTAATTTGAAACCAATTCTTCAAGAACTGAGTGTTCTTTTTAAATCAAAGGATGACTGCATGTCACTTTGACTTGAAATTGAGGCTATTTTGAATGGACTGCAAAAATATTGTGTTTTTAATTTGTTTATCCTTTTCAATCGATTGTAAAATTGTTTGAATTTAACCAAAATTGCTTGCCTCAATTTCCTCTTAATTTCATAATTTTGCTTGGTCCAAAAAAGTGAAATTAAAGCATGTTTTTATTATTATCTTCATTTTCCACTACATATTCCTTCCTGCATGTATATTCTGGTCATGCCAAAAATTTAAAAGAAAAGATCATTGTATTTCCTGACAGAAAGGTTGATGACAGGATCTTTTTACCCCATTTTCTAAATTTATGGCTTGTTTTGCAAAATTGTATTCTTTATTTCTGATCCTTGTCTTCTGTTCTATTCACAGACCCTGCAGGATCTGTTTTTACTAACTTCCTGCATTTGTTCTTAGAATTTCACTGTTTTCATATTAACATTTTTTCTTCTAACAAACCAAAAAGATTTTAATGTGCTTTTCTCATTTTTGTTAAATTATGTAAAAACATCCATCTGCTAAAATAAAACAAAAGTTTTAAAATATATATTTAAAAAATATCTTTATAATTTTTCATACATTCTTTAAATGAAAGAATAAAATTCTTTCAGTTGTATAATTTTCAATCATTAAAAAATAATTTGGAAGTAATCTTCGTCGAATTTAATATCTTTAAAAATGTTTTGAAGTTTTCCTAATTAAATGTTATATAAATCTTTTTTAATACATTACTGTTTTCTTTTATGTAATCTCAAATATAAAATGACATTGAAAAGGGGAATCTCTTTAAAAGATCTCATTTGAAAATATTTTAAATAAAGTAACATTCACTGTTTAATATTTGATTTTTTTTATTCTAAGATATTAATTAAATTCAGAACAAAAAATTTTTTTTCTCTTCATGATTGTGAAAAAAAATAAAAAAGACCTTTTACTTTCGTTAATGTCTCTATTCTGTTGATAGTTCTTACAATCATCCATAGATAAATATTTAAGTCAGCAGATTTTCTTTAATTCTTTTTTTTTTTAACCTTGGTCATGTTCACATCTTTTGGATCAATGTGCTTAATCAGATGTCTGAGTTAATCTATCAGATGTTCTTAATATCTGATAGATTAATTCAGACATCCAAGCTAAATAAGTCACTTGAAGAAGAGGGAAAACTATTAACTCTCTTTATTATAGTAAAAAAAGATTGCCTCTACTTTTTTTTTTTTTTTTTTAAGTCTTTTGTTCATTATGTCTATTTTGGAAAGAAAAAAAAAATTTGAAGAATTTGTCCTAGTCACAAGTTTAATCCTGCAGGGTCATTATGTTAAGTTTGGAAAAGTCTCAACTCAAAAATAAAACAGAAACTTAAGTTATATTCAATGCTTTTAGCATTCTATAATCAATATTCCTCCATCTTTATAAATTCTGTTTTTTTTTTTTTTTTTTTTTTTTTTTTTTTTTTTTTTTGTATATAAATCTGTAAGTTTTAATTTAATCAGTCTCTCTCTCTTCCTATATATATATATATATATAATCTGCTAAGGAAGCATTACTTGAAGAAAAAAAATCGAATTTAATGTTTGATAGAAATAAATTAAAACAGATTGAAATTATTTTCAACAGACCAGTATAGACAAGAGGAGATAACTCCGGTTTTTGTATTTGTAAATGCTTCAAGTAGAATGACGTTTTAAAATATTCTTTCTCTGAAACAATTTCCGTTTTTCAATGGAGTATAAAATGTTTTACTTTGTTTTATTGATCCACTTGAAGCTACAAAAGATAAGTTCTTGCAAGATTTTTAACCGTTTCTTCCTCTTATTTTCAATCAGTATCACACTACTGGAGATCTTCCATGTTTCTTTGACACTTACATGCAAATGGTAAGTCCTCACTGTTACCATTGTTGTCACTGTTGTCATTTTTTCTTGCTGTTGGTGTTTTCATTTCAAAAACTACCACCACCCTCATTCTCCCTGCTTTTTTTTATTGTTGTTCTGTAGATGATTTTGCTACTACTCTTGGTTGCTGTTAAACTTATTAGTATTACTTTAATTACTAGCACTAATGTTTCTGTGTAGATTTAGTCAATTTTGTTGGGCGTTTTTAATTTTTAATTTTTTTTTTTCATTTAAAAAAAATCCTCTTGTTTTTGTGCCATCTCATTTTGTCTTGGATGCAATTTAGCTTGTTTAGATTTTTTTATGTTCATTCACTGTTGGTTATTTTTTTTCACTATTCTTTGTATTTTTTTTTTTTTTTCGTTTCTATGGCAAAAAACCTACCTAGCCCTCTTTTTTGTCCCTCTTATCTCCAATTAATTGTAACGCATGTCAATGTTTTTCTTTTATCTTCAGATATTTTTAACTTATATTTTTTTTAAATAAATGTAAATTTATCTTTTATTCATTCCTATATATATATATATATATATATATATATATATATTATTCTGTTACTGATTTCTTTTTGGTTTAATTTTCGATAGCTATTACTTCTTTCAATAATGTTAATTCTTTTTTTTTTCATAGTTACAATTTCTATATTGTTTAATCTACATAAGATAATTTTTACTTTATACCCTTTTCCAATATATCTTATCACTGTTTCATTCACAATGTGGCATTGTGACATGCTTTTAATATCCTTTTACTTCAAGGTACTTTCTTTTTTCCATATTTTGGTTTATTTATGTTCCTGTATTTTTATTTTAACTATGACATATATAATTATTTCAAAAGGAATTGCCTTTTTATTTTTCATGGATCAAGAAGACATTTTGAATGCATCAAATTGATGTGATTTAACACTTTCAGATGACAATTTCTTGCTTTTGAATTTAAATCTTAATTTTTACCCCTAACCTCTTTTATGTCACTAGGCAGAAATTAGGTTGTTAGGAAGTAGCTACATTTCTTTTGCTTTAAGTTCCATCTTGCTTATTGCATATATCTACTGTATTTGTTCTGAGGAACTTGCTTTTTGAGAATATAATATTGCCAATGTAGTGAGTTTGATCCTCACTGAGTGCTCACCTCTGTTGTTGGCCTTGTGCTAGACTAAGCTAAACAAAGCAAATAACTATCAGGGCCTGTTTGCCATATTTAACAAGTTACTCTAGTATACTGTTAATCTTTATCCCTTATTTTCTGTTTAAGATTGAGTTTCCGGTTCCTTCTAACTAAAGTATTTTCATTCTCTCACTCCTGTTGCGTTTTAGTGGCATTATCACCTTTCTTGGGGTGAGTTGATTAAAAGAAATTCTATTATAGTGTACTGGATCCTTATGAATGCCAAATAATGTTTTGCTTTTGTTTATTCTAAAAAATCTGATCCTAACTTTTCTGTTGAGCAATATTTTGAATATTATGTGTTTAACAAATAGAATTACTTTTATTTCTTATTTCTTTCTATGAATGTACATTTTCTATGAGAATGTTTCATAAATAAATGACAAAAACTTTCATTAAGATTTTGAATTTTAAGGAATTGGAAAGATAATTTTTGTATCTATTAAAACTAATGCCCGATTGTCTGGTTAACTTACCTCCCTTACTTTGCATGTATCTCATTCAAATGTATTCTTGAATGAATTACTAACACCAGCATGTTTTATCTACTCTCCCTTCTTCTGGAAAAAAAATTCATTCTCAAAACAATTATTTATAAAAAAAAAAAAAAATAATATGGCTTGTTGTTGATCAATTTGAGTTTGTTTTAATTCCTCTAGGTTTTTCTTTGTGTATTAAAGTTTAAGCTATAAATGTTTTGCCATATGAACACGGTTATCATTTTTCGCATGACTCTTTACAGAACTTGATTTCTGAGGTGATTTTAATTGGTTTAATCTGTATGCTGATTCAATTAAACTTTCCTTTTGTTTATATTTTTTATTTAATAAAATTTAATAAATTCTTGATGACAAACTTGGACCTTTGTGCCCCCCCTCACCAAAAAAAAGGTGTCAAAAGGATGGTTTCTATTGACACTATTATTTTATTATTTTAAAAAAGTGATGTAATAAAACCTAAACTTATAATGAAAGTGAATTTATATATTTTTTCTTGAGAATTTACCACAAAAATATTAAGCACTATTTATTAAATTGTTTATTTACAAGAATAATTTTATATTTACAACATTTGAAAAACTAATACAATTAAAACTTATGCAATGCAATATTTATCATTTACCAATTTATTACAATTCTAATCATTGCTTTTTAAAAGAATAAATATTGCCGAGGAGTGAAGGTAGTTAAAATAATAATGTTATCAAGGGAAAAACTGTCCTTTTTGACACCCTTTTTTGTAGGTACAAAGGTTGAAGTTTGCCTTCTTGATTTTAAATTTATAAATAAGACTTGCCTTCACTGTTAAGCCATTTATCTCAATCTTCAAAATCCTATTTATTTGCAAAAATTACAAATATCAAAAGTTTGACATTTCCTTTTGTTTGTGTGTATGTGTGTGTTTTCCTTTGTTAATTTCTGGGTAAACTTTTGGATAAACTTGTACATCAAAGTAAGAAAAAAGGAAATTGAAGAAAAGATTATAAGGAATCATAAGCAGCAAATTGGGAAATATCTGCTGCTACTTAATAAAGCAATTGTATCTTCAAGCAGGCTTCAAGCCTGGCAGATGCCACAATTACTTTATTAAGACTCAAATGCACAGGTTGGTAGACATAATTTACATTTTTTTTAAAAATAATATGTCTATTAAAATATGATGTGTATCCACTAAATATAAAGTTTAAAGTATTAAGACATAATGTCAGTTTGGAATTAAAATTTGAATTCCTTAAGCTATAATAAATTCAAGATTTGTAGGTACTTCAGTAAACTTGTTTTGTTTTTTTTTTTCATTCTGCAAAATCATATTTGGTACAGTAAAATTTTTGGGATACGTTTTAAAAAAATCACTAACAAAATTTCCTAAATTATGTGTATGGTGCTATCTTTTCAGATGAAACTTTTTTTTCTCAAACTTCATGGTTACTTTGGCAGACATATTTTAGTCTATAACTTAGCTAATGATTCATTTTGCATTTGTCATTGTTTTTAAATCAAATTAGATGAAGCATGCAGCTTAGTCTCATTTTATGGTTGATTTGCTTTTGTTACTTCAAACAATTTAGTGCTTGGATAATTTGAAAACACCTTTTCAAGACAATGCCACATTTTTAGGATTTGAGAGAAGGTTGTTGGAATCCAAAGATGTTTTATAAAATACATAAATTTTCAGTTTGAAAGTAATAATTTTTATAATTTGTCACAGCCAATGTCCAAGTTATGTCAATGAAAGCCTTCTTAGGGGAACGTGGGGACAACTAAACATTCTGATGTTAGCAGTATTTTTTTTTTTTAATCCTAAATCTTGGAAATTTCTTCTCCATTTCTGGCATGAGGTGTTGACAATTTGGCTTTTCAAGATGACCACACAGTCTACATTTCTGTTCGTTAATTTTAAAGGCTTTTTTTTCATTAATCTTTAAAAACTTTTGTCAAAAATTTAAATTCTTTGTCTTTATTTTAACCGATTTTTTTGTCCTTATTTTAATCGATTTCTCTGAGAAATGAAATTGTTCTTTTTTTTATTGTTGCTGATAAAAGGACACACTATGCAAGAAAGATAATTCAAGTTACTTGATTCTCTCCCTTACATTCCGGTTTGTTATGGTCAAAAATCTTTTTTGAGCATAAGTGGAATGGTTAAAAAATGACTGAAGTCTGAATTTTTAATCTTTTTTTTTTTTTTTTTTTTTTTTTGTTAGATTTATTTATTTTTATTTATTTCATGTCTGTTTTTCTGGGGTTTCTTTCTTGAATTTTTCTTCCATTGATTTTAGGAATATTTTTTGTCAAGGGAATGAAATTTTTTTGTCAGTAAAAATATATTTACTAATCATAAATTGTAGAGCTTATTACAATTAAGGACCCCCTAGTATTTTAAAAAAGAATTTTGAATTTTTTTTGTTTTGTATTTCTGCAATATTTTAAAATTAAAATAAGTAATATTTGTTTCAGATCAGATTAATTATACTTTAAATCAGCTAATATTCTACAAATAAAGTGTCACAAATGTATATTTTATTTTTGGAATATTTTTTTAATAAAGAGAATTACATTCTGGTGAATGATGGCTTAAAATGGTGCTGAAGTGAGTTTTTTCTTTTTTTTTCTAACTAAGAAAAAAAAACACAAAAAAACTTCCAATCAATGAAATTAGTTTTGAAATAGAGCAAAGTATTTTCCTTATTGGAAATATTAAATTTAATCTATTAGTTTGAAATTAAAATAAATAAAAGCTTCAAGAAATAATTTTAATTTAAAAAAAAATTAATTTTTAACCTTAGGTATCGCTTTCTTTGGGAGGTCCCTAATTAAAACTGAATTATTAATATTTAATAATGTTCTTTGTGATTTTTCTGTATGTTGGTGATTATTAACTTCATGGCTAAAAGTTAACTTATTGTGTTTTTGTTTCCTCCTACTTTTTTCTTTTTTTTTAATATCAAATGATTTAGTATAGGTTTCTCTTTCAAGTCTTTTGCTGTCTCTTAAACTTTTCAAATTGTTTTAATCATAATTTCTTTTTCTTTGGAAAACTGATTTCCTTTCATTCACATTTAAAAGATAACGTCTTTTTGTCTCATTTTTTTTTTGAAAAATGTTTTTTTTGTATAGCTTTTTGTAAGAACATTTTTTTTCTCCATTTATTAAATAGGCAATATATTTTTAAAATGCTTGCATCAATTCTAGGTGAATCTTTCAAACTGTATGTATATATGCATTGCCATAAATATTTACATTAACTAGCTCCTGTCAAGATTGACAATGGGGGAGGTCATGTAAGGTCATTATGGGAGAGTGCTTATGTGCTGACTATGTTTTTACTCAATTCTAAAGGTATCCAAATGATGAGACATGGTGAAAAGGTATCTGACAATAGTACAATGCAGGGAGAAACAGATTTATGCCTTTTCCCATAGGTAGCAGTAT